GGGCTCAGCCTGGCACCGGGGAAATCCGTCCAACGAGCGACCCCGGGGCGCCGCAGGGCCCGTAACCGCCCGGCCCGGGCCGCGGGACTAGCCGCCCGCCACACTTCCTGTTCCCGCGCTCTTCCGGGAATTAGTCCCCGTGCTTTTCAAAATAAAGCGTTTGCGTTTAGGGAACGCTTGCTCTTCTGACGTCGCTGTAATCGATTACTTCGTGCTTGTAACAAAACCCCAGAGGGCTTTCAGGAGAAAACACTTTAAGTTTTTAATTAGTTCAAGCGCCAGTGTCCCGGCTGAGACCTGAGTCTCTAACGAGTTTCGTCGTCGGTGCTACTATCTCGGCCGACAAATCACGACTGACCAGTTACTGTCAGTTCCCAAAAACGTCCGCAGGGAGTTTGGCTTTTCACCCAGCTCTCAGTGAATGTGTAAGAAGCTGTGGTTTGAGTTTGGTGCTACAGCTTGCCCAGGTATCCTAGCTAGCCCTTAATAAAACTGCCCAAGTTAGAAAGCTTCCTGCGGTGTTTGAGGATGAAACGAAATGACAGAGGACAGGGCCTGAGTTGAATTCCCAGCACCTGGGCTATGGCGCTCACAAGCACCAGCCAGTATCCCAACTCCAGGGCTGCTGTGGCCCCTTTTCTAGATTCTGGGGACATCTGCGTTCATATATGCCCAGACCCACATTTATACACATCTGCGTTCATATATGCCCAGACCCACATTTATACACAATGTTAGAAGAAAATATTGTTGTTTGAGACACAGTCTCACTTGTCTAGCTCTGGCTAACCTGAAACTCTTTGTAGACCAGGCTGGCCACAGTATAACAGAGATCCTTCTGCAGCTGCCTTCCAAGTGCTGTGATTAAAGACTTGTGCCACAGAAATAAATAAATGAACGAACGAATATGAAAGGTAACACAAATACTTTACCTTGTGCCTTGTTGCCTATATTGTATGCTGAAATCTCAAGGCAGATTCCTGAGCTAAAACGTGTGTAACTTAAGGAATGCTCTACTTTAGTTACAATAATAGCTAAGAACTATGGGATGTTAGCGCTGGAAGGCACGTCAAAGATCCCGCAAAGCACACAAAGTACACACTATAAAGTCGATGTGGAGGAATAAACAAAGTATTTCGTCTTGATCTCAGGAAGTTTTTTCTTCTTTCTCCAAACTAGTGAGTTAGGAAGCCACAGCATGTTGCTGTCTGGAGCACCAGATGCTATTCTAGTTTTTATAGTATGTCTAATAAGCACTGCATATTGGCATAGGAAGGGAGGAGAAGCAGAATCCCCTTTAAGTTCATTTGCATCTGAAGCTGTGAGCATTCAAAGCAGTTGGTGAATTATCAACATCTAATAAAAGCTTGTTCTTTAATCTTCCACAATGTTCTAAAATATTTCAAAGGCTTTACCATCTGTTTTCATTTTAGATTATTAAAAATAGACTTTGTTGTCTAAAGTAACAACACAAGAGAACCTATTAACAATAAATGGCAAGAAAACACAACCACGCAACATTACTGTTTTGTGTTTGTCAACAGGATACTGCCAGTTTAAATTTACCTAACTTCCACACCTTACTCAGCTTTCATTCGTTGGGTCTGAGTTCAATATTGAATAAATAAAATGCTTCCAAGATTCACAATCCTTTGTATTTTAAGCAAAAGCCAAGAGGTCTCAAAATGAGTTTCCCTATGACTTTATATTACTGTGGGATTCCACCACGCAGTGGTGAGCACTGGAGACTTTTAGTTTACATACTGTGCTTTATAGTAGTTCCAGAAACTGAAGTTTGGACAAAGTGAGCAATTTGCTTCCAGAAAAATTACAGCTCAGGTTTTCCAGTTTTTATCCTATTATATATAGGTAATGCATTTCTTCCTGTGGCTTTGCTCATATGTTGATATAATAGTTTTCATAATTGAATATGGAACTTATAAGGAAGTCTTGTTAAAAAATATTTTAGCCAATAATAAGTTGGGTCATAAGACTTGTGTTTTTAGATCAACGCCTATGCGTAGTATCACCCGTTTTCAAGGAATGGTGTATTAAATATTCTTACTCTAAAATGTTACATTTTCCCCTCTACCTTCCTTCTTACCGTGTTACATTCACCTCGCACTATGGGTTCTATCCTAAACACACCCCAAGGCCTAAGTGCTAAAGCTTGATTACCTGCCGGGGTTTCCCTTAGGAAATGAGGCCTAGTGGAAGGGAGGTAAGCATGCCTCCCTCCCTCATCTTATATCAAAGTGAGCAGCCCCTCCGGCTGTGTCCCTGCCACTATGTAGTGTGCTGCCAGAGGCCAAGTCAACAGGTCAAGGTCTCACTCTTAAACAGCCTAGTGGTGTATGGTCTCTGGGGTGTCCTTGGGTGCTTTCTTTATTTAGCTAACACAAATTATCTTTTTAGGCAGGTTAGAAATTTATTAGATTACCCATGAATGAGGCAGAACAAAACTGTCAGAACAGAAATGGAACCTGAATTTATCCTGATCAGAAAGGCCTGTGTCATGAAGTATGCCCAACATCTGGCATAAGGTTGACCATATTCTGACTTACTTCCTGAATAAAGGCATTGTCACGTTTGAGTGAATTTAAGAACTGGAATGGGTCTGAAAGAGCCCAAGTGGCGTTCTTGTCAGATTTAAGGCACTAAGATATAGACCACAATGAATGGCCTTTTTCACTATAGAGTACTAAACCCTGCTTTTCTGGGGCCCAATCCATTTGATTGCTTTATGTGGAATTCTGCTGTGTTTAAATATAGCCTGTGTCAAACTCCCAATTTTAGTTGTTAACTAAGATTTCTAGTTCGCCGAGTATCTCTTCATATATGCTAGCATCAAGTCAATCATCTACTAAAAATTACTCAAATCCTTATTTACTTGGAAGAATACCAGAAATTCTTAAAATTTGAGTTTAGCTCTGCAACTTAGTCTCAGAGTTATTTTTTAATGATCTTTGTAGTCTTTTTCTGCAAAGACCAGACGTGGCCTTGGGATACTTTTCAATAACTTTATTTTTAGCAGGTTGGTCTGGGCACTCAAACCTAAGGGCCAGAACACATACTCTGTAAGTGATCCTCCACTGCACTGCACCCAAGCTTAAACAACTCAACCTTTAGACAAACTGGTAGCCATTTATTGGAATTAGTATCCAAGATAAGGTTGTTTGTCCATTCTTGGAAGAAAGGTTGTAAATCAAAATTTGGTAGTACATGAGAGATAATAGAACTCTGTAGTCTTCTTTGCTTATCAAATCATCTTTTGCTTGAATTGTTGGCATTATGTTGTCCATTAACTAATTATTATGAATAAATAGTTTGAGAATCCCAAGTGTTATGTTAGGATTAGTTAGGATAAACTCCAAATTCTAAGCATGCCTAAGTTTAATTTAAACTTATTATTAGTTGATTTATTAACAGACTCAAGTTAATCAAGCATTAGGTTATTATTGCAAAGATGACATAGACAAGTCATGGAAATTGATTCTGTGTGAAAACCCCAAAACTAGAACTACCCCACACATAGGCCACACTGGAAGAAAATCCAAGGCTCAGGACCTCAGTAGCAAGATTTCTGGCCTTTATTGCTGATAAGTAGTTTCAGCTGTGTTTCTCCTCTGTTTGCCTGCTACAGTCAATTTGCTTAGTCTGTTTTTACCATCTATTTGTAAACCTCAGTAAACTACAGCCTTCTCATAGGATGAGCTTGTCTTGTGGCTGATAACTGCCTCATGGCTTCTTTCTCTATATTTGATTTGATTCCAAAGATTATATAGCCCACAAAATATTTTTTCAATTTTGATAATGTTAAACAATTAGTGGTATTTCATAGAGCTGAGCTAAGTACAAGGTCAGAAGAGTTTTGAACTTTATATGACTTAAATTGCTACTTGGAGGTCAATGTAAAGCAATGCTTTGAGATACAAGAAAACTTCCGTTGTGTTAGTCTAAATATTGCTAAGTTAGTGTGTGGATCATCTAGGATTTACCAGCCTTGGAAATTTCTTTTTAGAATAATATTTAAACTACTCTGTTTGTTTCAGTTTTTATTATATATATATATATATATATATTTAATTTTATCATGCATTGTTATAAATTACCATAAATTCTATGAGGAAAACCACAGGAAATAATATAAAATAATGCTTGATATATTTAAAGACTAGTATTTTTAACTAGAATGATTGCTTACATTTATTCTATGCCCTGAATGAAATGCATATGAGAAGACAGTTTTTATCATTCAATGATCATTGATATAAATTCAGGCTTTCCCCTTGTAAAATATATTTCTACATTATATATGTATTTAACCCAGATTTTGACCCATAAAAAAGAATTGTTTAGTAAATAGTAAAACATGTTCTTGTCAAAAATCCATCCTAATGTAATTACCAGTTTATTATCCTCATGGGTATGAGGCTCCATTGTAACTTGAAAATAAAATGCATTTAATACAATTAATTTTCTGAATTTTGTAGCTTAGTAAGAGTGTTCACCTTTGTGATCCTGTAACTGGTAGAAGAGCTGTGGCTTACTGTTAATGTCCAGCATTCCAAGAAACTATCAAACCACATATTGCTAGCTCAAGAAAAGACAACAATTCTAAAATTCAAGGATAGTATCACTTCCACACCATTATAAGTTGAGGAGGATATCTGTACAGAGTATAAATTTTCTTAGAATAACCAGCATACTTAGTGTATAATGTCTTTTTAAATGAGAATAGTAAGATTGTATATTTGTGTTTATATTAAAGCATTTATGTTTTTCTTTTTATGGTTTGAACACATCAGAGACCAGAAATAGCTGGAATGCTATCTTAAACCAAAAATCTATTTAAATACTTATTTAATGCTGCTTAAATGAAGAAAGATATATAAAACATCCAAAACTCCATCTGGTAACTATCCTATTGAGACACTGGTCAATATGTCACTCAATCCAAGTCGACCTTCTTCATCAGAGGTAAGAAAACCATGCCTGTCACTGGTTTTGAAGATAACAAAAGCTATGAATGACATAAAATATTAGATGCTGATTCTACTAGGATCCCAACTTCCCATATCACATTATCAGATTATATGATTATGCTACTTGCATCTGTAACTCACTTCTCTATTACGACCTGCAATGAATTGATCTTATCACGCTTTTTACTGTTTCTAAACTGGTGATGCCCAGAGACAGTTTAACTTTATAGGGCATAGGATCACTCTGGCTCATGCTTCTGACCACTTGTCATCTCTTGCTTTGTTAAACAAAACCCTAATGTATTGAATGAGATTTCTGTCCCGCCCAGTCCCATAGCCATCCAGTTCCAAAGAAATTAATGTAGAGGTCTACAGAGGTCTACATTAATCATAAACTGGTTGGACTATTAGCTCAGGCTTCTTCCTACATTAACCCATAATTCTTGTCTGTATCAGCCACATGGCTTGGTACCTTTTATCAGTGAGGCAGTCTCATCTTGCTTTCCTCTGCGTCTGGGTTACTACTGCAGACTGAACCTTTCCTCATCCCAGAATTCTCCTATTTTGATCACTCCACTTATACTTCCTGCCTGGCTACAGGCCAATCAGCAGTTTATTAAACCAATACAACTGACAAATCTTTATAGAGTACAGGATCATTGTCCCACAGC